AAACCTCTCATGTGTCATTTCTAACCTTTGATGTTGGAAATGTTTGCATAAGACACCTTTTTGGAACGGTGGTGAATGTGTTGATGTTTTCTTGACACTCACATCAAAAACATAACGATATCAAAGTCAAAGTGTATAATAACTTTGACTTCAGATTGAGTGGATGAGCCTCAAAAAATAGCTTGCATACGGACTCAAACCCAAGAGTCCGCAGGTGCACCAGATAGCTCCATGTCCAACCACCCATGCTAGCCGCAGGATGACATTGCTTTGGATAAAGTTGTTGAAAGGGCTTCTATAATCAGGGCCCGTATGAGAACATATGAGATCATGCGGGTCAACTATTCAATTAAGAGTTCAACAGCTTGTGTACGCAATGATGGTCAACAAAGTTCAAGTCCAAAATTGAGTTTTGAACAAGTTTTTGCCTGGCGAGTTAAAACTGTGCAACACACATCACCTGAAAAGTTACCATTGATTCTCACAATGGCTGTAACTTAACAAAGTCCCTCAATGCCTCAACAGCTGTCATTCAACAAGTTGAATCCACATGTCTCAGCATGAGGGACTTACCTCTACACCACGGGGCAATTGTTGAGCCAAAAGCTGAGCTCAAAAGTGGTCGTGTCCAAAAACCGGTCATAACCTGAGATTTTGACTGGAAAAAAGCCTGTTGGTTGGCTGGTCAATCTGGCCATAAATTGACCAGCCTTATGTAAGGAGGAGACCCCGGGGTATTCCCGGCGGGATTGGGGGGGGTTGGGCCAGCCTGTATTGAACACTAATACCCCCGGGGGTCGTTCTGCCAGGCAGAACAAATCAATCCTGGTACTTGACGGGAGTCCCTGGGTAGCAGGGGATTATCCGGGAATCCCCCGGCTACCCGGGGACTTTTGTCTGTCGGTCCGGGACCCGTTCTGCGTTTGTTATAAAAAAAACCCCGGCGGGGATCCAGGGTTGGGGGCCGTTCTGTCATCAGGAGAGAAAATTACCCGCGGGGAACCCCCGCCCCGACATTTGGGGTTTGGGGCTCAGCCTTACCCTTATGGCTGCCAAAGGATGGCCAAAAACCAAGCCTCTGGCCAGCTTTTCAAACATTCAAAAAGCTGGCTGTAAGAACTTGGAGTGAGAGGTGAAATGCAAGGGCGCTAGAGGGACCTCTACGATGGTATTTGGATTGTAACATGAGGATGCACAGGCCATCCTTGAGCCAGCATCTAACTAAGCGCACAACACAGTACAAGCATAAAGTAAGTAGCCTTGTACATGGCTCATAACACCACTCCCCCCTTCATGTCTCAACCCCCTCTTGACGGGTTAGCATCTTTCCACGGGTTGGCATTAAAAAACCCAGTGGGAGAAAGCCTCACCCTCATTACTTTCTCTGTACCCTGCAGTATCTTCTTTCAGCTTGAGGATACTTGTTGTTAAATTCTATCATTAATTCTTGAGCATTATTCATTAGTTCTTCTGGTTCCCATGAATCATGATCCGGGCTATACCCTTTCCAACTAATTAAGTACTCCACTTTCCCTCTCTTGCTTCGTTTGTCTAATATTTCTTCAATTTCATATTCAGTTTCATTTTGAATTGTTATTGGCTGAGGCGGTTCATGCACTTGATCCTTAATTTTGCTTTTCTCAAATTCTCTGAGTAAATTTATGTGAAAAACAGGGTGAATCTGGCTCATTGACTTTGGTAAATGCAATTTGTAAGCATTTGTTGATACATGTTTTGAAATAGGAAAGGGACCCATCCATATGTGTGAGAACTTAGCTGTGGGTCGTGTGATTGATAAGTCCTTATTATTCAACCACACTTTGCTTCCAACCTTCCAATTTGGTGTTTCTTGAACTTTCTTGTCATGTTGCTCCTTCATTGCTTCTTGAGTTAATTGCATTGAGTCCTTTAATTCTTTCTGAACTTTGTTTAACTGCACTAATCTTCTCTCAACTGAAGGTAAGCATTGGTCGCCAGTGGGCACATTGGTGAAGCTGACGTTAAAACCGTAGTTTGCTTTGAAAGGTGATATTTCAATAGCTACATGATCATTGTTATTGTAAGAGAATTCGGCCATGGGGAGAAGAGAGCACCAATTTTCCTGTTTGTATGACGTGAAATGACAAATATATTTCTCAACTGCTTTATTAGTGATCTCAGACTGTCCATCAGTTTGTCGATGGTATTCCGTCGAGGATTGAGTAATTATGCCTAGTCTTCAATTCATGTCTTTTGTGAGTTTGGAGATGAAGACATTACCTCTATCTGTTGTAATTGACTTCAGTGTTCCATGCAATTTCCAGATGTTCTTAATCATTGATTCAGGAAGTTCATCCAACGTCATTGTTTTCCTACAGGGTACAAAGTGTGCCATCTTTGTTAGACGGTCAACCACTGTCGGGATGCTGTCGTTACCTTTGGATTTGGGAAGATCTGTTATTAAATTGTAACAGATGTCAGTCCACGGTCCGCTGGGAATTGGGAGAGGATTAAGACTGCCGAATGGCTTTGTCGTCCTTGACTTGACGCGTTGACAAGATTGGCATCCGTCAACATATTGATTTACAAAGGACTTCATTGATTTCCAATGGTAGCCACGCTCTAAAGCCAAAGTTCTCATTCTTCCCGGATGACCAGCTAGTCGACTGTCATGTTGTGATCGCAATATCTGAATTTTTAGATTGTTATCATCAGGTACTACTATCCTGTCTTTCAGATAAAGAATACCGTTGATGCTTGAGTAATCTTTCATGAATTTTGATGTCCACCCTTTGCCACGCAGCTGTAGTACTTCAAGTATTTTGGGATCTAATTTTGACTTGACCTGAACTTCCTCCAATATGTGTTCATCATTCCATATTAGGTTGCTTTCATCATCCATCCTTTCTTCATTTAAATTCATTTCACTAATTTTCAAAGTCGGATTTAAATCTTCTTCCATTACCCATGAACTAAAGAGGTCTGATTCATCAATAAAGGCGTTGGCTGGTAAATTCTGTGGTTTCAGTAGTTGTCCAAAGGTGAACTTCTCACCCTCCTTTGGCATTAAGTCTGGTCTTCGCGATAATGCGTCCGGTTTTGTGGACTGTCTACCCGCTCTGAATCTAATCTCGAAATCAAAACTACCCAAGACTTCTGCCCATCGTGCTTGTTGCCTGGTTAATTCTTTGGTTGTCATTAAGGACTGTAAATTTTTATGATCTGAGTATACTATCACATTGAGTCTATTGGGATTGCCTTCGAGATATTGTCTCTGTCCCTTAAAAGAAGCTACTACCGCCAATAATTCTTTATCAAAGATTTCATAGTTTCTCTCTGCCTGAATTAAAGAACGTGAAAGGAATGCTACTGGGTGTAATTCCCCGTCATTATCCGAGATTTGAGATAGAACTGCACCCAATGCGTAATCTGAACAATCACATTCAAGTACAAAAGGTTTAAAGGGGTCTGCTATTTTAAGAATCAGGGCCATTGTAAACGCTTTCTTGAGGTCCTCAAATGCTGTCTGTCTAGCGTCAGTCCAACTGAAAGGAGTGTCCTTTTGGGATAATTCATGCAATGGGCGTGCAATCTTTGAAAAGTGGCCTATAAAGCATCAGTAGAAATTTGCAAAGCCAATGAAAGTTTGTACTTCAGATAAATTTTGAGGTGTTGGCCATTCAGTGACTGCTTTAACCTTGGTTTTGTCCATTTTAATTTGATTTTTAGATATGATTAACCCACCTGTGTGTACTACTTCCCTCCGAGTGTATCGGATGATACAGACTTGTCTATCATCCTATGCACTCCGTAAAATGGCGGTAGAAACTTGTAGCGCCATATCTATAACTATGCTAGAATTTCCAAATCCATAAGTCCCTCAATCCTAAGGCAGGTACCTTGCTCACCCGCTGAGGCCCTCAGATATTTCACCAGCTGTACCTGAACAAATAAATACCTCACTACAAATCTCACAAACTCACTATGAATCTCACCACCTCATGCTCACATGTCACCACGTTATACATACATATCACCAGCTGCTACACACTCTCACCCACCAACACAATCCATATTTCACCACCCATACATCAATCTTACCAGTTGTTATCCAATCTCACCACTGGTCTACAGATCTCACCCACCAAATCCATATCTCACAAACCAAATCCATTTCTCACCAACCAAATCCATATCTCACCACCCGATACAGACATTTCACCATCACTTTTGGCTCCATTCCTTGCCTACTTTTGTACACACCTCACCACCTGCATCTCATCACAAACACTTGTTACAAGCCTCCCATCCATCAATTTCAATCTTGCTCCCAACAATCACAACATTGCTTAAAACCACCCACCAACTCAACCACTATTTTAACGAAAACCACATAAGTCAATCAACCCAAATACCAACTTGCCTGAATCACACGTTGATACCTGCTCTGGTCGCATTCAGGATGCGTCCAGGACTTTGTAGTACCCACTTGCAAACCAAGGCTAAACCCATACATTTGTCACCAACTTTGGATTCTGAAGCGACTGTCCAACCGTCCAAAGGGCAAATACGCTCTTCCAATCGACAATCCCTCAATTGACAAACATCAAAACTCAAATCTTGTACCACTCAACCCAGCCGCAGCCGAAAAAGAAGGCAAACCAATGACCAAGGAGACATGGACGACACTCATTATGCCCCTGAAAACCCCCCCAGCAATCATCAACTGGACAAATGTGAAAACGTCGATCCAATGACTACTCCCACGTTGGCTAACTACTGTGAAATCGGCCGGCAGTGGGGCATCGGCTGTGCTGAAGCACATAAACCAATATCTGCGTGTAAAATACAAAAAAATACTCGTCATGACGCCCCAACATCTAGGAACAAGGTGCATATTTTTTCAGATTTTTAGCTCTCTTCCTGTTGCCTCAGGACTTTTCTATGTCAGTAGTTTTCTTTACCGCCGGGTAAAGATTACATTTGGTGTAGTGTTGAGAGTTCAATCAATTGATCAATAAATGAAACTCTACCATAGAATGGAAGGACCCCTTGCCCGCGAGCCTAACTTGTACACAAACTTCCAAACTTATAGCGATGTAGCTACCACAACTAAAAGTAAGCAGAATTTTGACCAACTTCCATCGCTGTGGTAGACTTAATTTGTGTATGCTACACAGTGCCCCCAAAAGGAGTATCCAAAGGCTTTTACAACCGTAACACCATTGTTGGTAACACATGATCTTTGTACAACCCCGACGAACAGCAGGTCTTCCACCCCTGAATCTTTAAACACCTATGTGTAGCCACAAGTGAGGCCTACTCCCTTACCCAAACACCACTTGGCATACCGCACTGTCCAACCGCCACGACCAGCCCAGAAGGCAACCAATATTCCAAAAAACTAGAGCCCCTCAGCGAGGAAGAAGTCACCCGCTACTTTCCTATCTTCAAGCGGTTAGTCAATATGAATAAAGTAGCTGGGGATTTACACGAAGGTCGCCTTTGGAGGCACAGTAACAAAACCGGAAGTTGCAGTCGCGAGCAGCTCATGAAGTCCAAAATAAGGAAGGTAGTAAGACAGGTTCGCTACTTTACTCTCTGAACATCATGATATTCAAATATAACCTATCTTTGACAAGCATTTCTGACCTGATGACTTTCTTTCAGCTTCATTTCCTGAATACCCAATTCAACCTCGAGTTCCACCTACTGGCAGCTTGTTGGAATCCAGCAGCCTCCACTAGCAATGCTCTGTTCCAGGACAAACATACATCATGTGAACAATGGGTTCATCTACAAAAGAAGACACATCTTTTGGAGCGGTTTACCTTTGAGTCAACCAAAGCACCACACCACCTAAGACCAAAACAAGACCAGCCCAGACTTATGTCCGAGGCTGCTGCCAGGCAAGCGGCTCAACGAGCTGAGCTTGCGCAAGCACTCAACACTTTGATCAGTTGAGTTCGTTTTTTTCAAACTGTCTCATTACACAAGCTCAAAGCCATGTCGCTCGTCACCTTTGCAGCTCCATTCTTACCTGGAGGTCCTGTAGGCAGGGGTGATGCACACCCCAAGACTGCCAACTTAAAGGCAGCTTTTGAAAAGAAGACCTTCCCCGGATCAATCAATCTAATGTTCCATCGGACCCCTGATAGCCAAGTTGATGATGTCATGCCTATAAGTAAAGGTCCCAACATGCTCACCAACAACGAAGTGCAGCTGTGGCTTGAAGACATCAATTCCAAGCGATACACCCTATTCAAGGTCACTGGTAAAAAAGGAGAGGCCAAAAATCGGAAGTACAAAGGGGACGCTGGGCTGACCAAAGAAGAACTAGGTCTTGAAGATTCTCTTTTGAATCAAAAAGAATCTATTTTATGTCCATGATTTTATCTTCATTGAATTCATAATCGTAGTTTAACAACTTCCTATTTCATTTTTTATGCGTAATTCATTTTTTGACAGGTGTCCCATTTCCAGTATGTTTGTCTTAGCTAGAGAGGTAATCTCTACAAACCATCTTTCCTGGACCAAATTGAAGCAATGTCGAGTTAAATAAACAAGGTGGCAAGTGTTTGGTGAAGGACACCTTGAGTTGTGTACATGACAAGCACATGTACACAACTCAATGTCACACAAATCCAGTCTACAAAACTGGTATTGATGTGTGAAAGTATTGAGATAATTAACAAGTCTAGAACTTCATTTCTATTTCGTCATAGTTAATATCTACATGATGTCAACTTCATCTATTTCATTTCTTCTCTGACATCATTATGTCTTCTCCTTCTCTATCTATTCATGTACCTTGGTTCTACGAGATCACTTTTATATATAAGACTGAATGTTTCCTCAACTATTGTTTCCTTTTTCTCATTCATTCTTATCTGTGTTTCTTGTACCACTAGGTACTTTGCTTTTCCACATCACTCGTGTTCTTTTAGCACTTACTAAAGAACTCTCGTGTTCTTCCAAAGGTACTTTGCTTTTCCACATCACTCGTGTTCTTTTAGCACTTACTAAAGAACTCTCGTGTTCTTCCAAAGCTAGTACTCTTCTAGGTTATGAGCCCAGCGCCTATGTGAAATCCGAAATCCATTAATCTTCATTCTTTACCATTCTCATGAGTAACGATAACTTCGAAGATCTTCCCAACACTCCAGCATCACTTCCAGACTTTGAGATTCAACTAGAATCTGAATCAAACAACTCAGAATCACTTCATTCGTCCAGATCCTCTACGCCCACTGGACTCAATTCAAACTCTACGTTCAATCCTAGAACCCTTATTCCTTTAAACAATCTAGTAACACCTACTACCAATAGCAACATGTCCAACCTATTCAACGATAACTCCAACTCCAACTCCGAGTCTATTTCGAGTGTTCCTATTTTAACTGAAGACAACTTCTCTACCTGGCATCTTAAAGTCGAATCTTTCATCATTATGAAAAATCTTGATGGAATTATTGGAGGTAGAGAAGCTGTTCCATCTGATGATGCTCTTAGAGCTACTTACGACCTTCGTTGCAAGTATTTAGTGGGATTTCTTCGTTTAAAAACTCAGTGATAGGATTGCTGAATTATTAATCAACGACTCCAACAGAAGAAATCCTATTGAATTATGGAAAACCATAATAGGTCACTTCGCCTCTACTAAAGCTCGAAATCGTGGAAGAGTATTTTCTCAACTCTTTACGTTATCTTGTGATGGATCCGATCTTCAAGGCTTTATGACCACCGTCAAGAAAGCTCTCAACGATCTGTCAGCCACTGGTGTCAAGACCGATGAAGAAATGATTTCTTACTTCATTTTACATCTACTCCCTGACGATTTGTACAACTTAAAGACCATGATTACTCATGGAGCTGAACTAATGGATCAAAAACTCACTGTTGACTCTGTGTTGAACAACATTCAACAATACGTGAACAACAAGAAGGTTAACATCAATTCGTTTCAATCTCCGTCATCTGCATATACTGCTCAGCGAAATTCGTCCGCTTCTTCTCGACAACCGTCTTATCCTATTTGTTCGAATGGCAAGCATAATCCCGATACGGCTCATTCTGCTGATAGATGTCACCAACGTTTTCCTCGTTTGAAGAATAAGAACAAACGATCTCCTGCGAACGGTGCTGTCAACACCGCTGCGGTTATGTCTACTTTCTCTGCTCAAGAAGACTTCGCTTTGCCTCCTGTACCTCCCGCCATCACTTCCTTTCTATTGGCTGCTGTCCAAAAGAAATGGGATAAGGTCCTGAACTTATTAGATAGTGGTGCCTCAGTCACCATGTTTAGAGATCAATCTGCTTTCAAGACCTATTCTGAATGCTCGGAAGATGTTTATCTAGCCGATGGTAATTCTATTCAAGCTGTAGGAAAAGGGACTGTTATTGTAAAAGGAATTGACAATGTCGAACTCTCGTTTACAAATGTTTTACACATTCCTTCCTTATCCAGCAATCTGATTAGTCTTTCTCAACTATTTTCTAAAGGATTCGAACTCATGAATTCTGGAAGAGATGCTTTTGAAATCAAGAAGGCCAAACAATCAGTTCTTAGCGGCGTCATCTCTAATGGCATTTTTGTCTTGAATCTCTCTCATGGCAAGTCTCTCGCTCTATCTAGTACGAAGTCCATCTTGACTGACGAAGCAACACTTTTGCACAGACGCCTAGGTCATCTAAATCATAGATACATGAAAATGTTGTTTAATTCCTCTGTATCCTCTCTTTCTCCATGCTCCACGTGTACTCTTAGCAAGCATCATTGTCTGCCTTTTTCGGGTAAACTTCCTCGCCCGACTGCTCCTCTAGAAGTTATCCATAGTGACTTGAGCGGTCGAATCTCTCCTGAATCCATTGGAGGTGGACGTTATTACTTTAAACTTACAGATGGATTTTCTAAATACAAACATGTATATATTCTTAAACATAAATCAGAAACTTTTTCAATCTTTGTGCAATTTAAGAAGCTTGTCGAAAAACAGCTAGGAGTACCTATCAAGAGATTAGTGAATGATAACGGTGGGGAATACATTTCAGAGGAATTCCTAACTTACTTGAAAAATGAGGGTATCACTTCGGACTTCTCCGCTCCATACACCCCCCAACAAAACCCCATCTCTGAACGAGGCAATCGCACTACCACCGAAAGGGCTCGGTGCATGCTCATCGACACGAATCTACCCAAGAAATTTTGGGGTGAAGCCGTATCTACCGCGGTTTACCTTGAAAATCAATGTCCTGAAGCTAGCATTGGATATAAGACCCCACATGAGCTTTGGACTGGAAAGATTCCATCTGTTGATCACCTACATATCTTTGGCTGTGCAGCGTATCCTTTGATCCCCAAGCAGTTTCGTTCTTCTAAGTTCAGCCCTGTTTCCAAGAAGTGTATCCTTTTGGGATATCAAGAACGATTACACAACTATTGTCTCTGGGATTACGGTTCCAGAAAAATAATTTATTCCCATGATGTCATCTTCAACGAATCGGACTTTACTCATTCATCACTCTCCAGTATAAATACCGACTACGATGTCCTAACTGAGGACATTCCTAGTCTCGAGTCATCTAATTCTGATCCAGTCATGTCTGATCAAGAACCTCCTGTTCCGATCATGAATAATCTATCATCGCCTGTACAAGTTTCTTCCTCGCTTGATTCCATACCATCACATGGTTTTACTCCTGCCGGCAGTCCTCCGATTGAATACACCCATATCGAGGACGGTGATCCAATAACTACTAGTTCTAGTAGTGATTCTACGAATGTGTCTTCAGAGTCTGAAAACGTTGACGTTGTAAGAAATGACTCCTCTATTTTAATCCCACCAATCCCTGAAAGCTCTCGTTGGTCCTATCAGCCAATCTCGCAGTCTGCCCCTCGTGACATCTCCTCTTCTATAAATCCCAACAATATCCTCAGCACTCGTCGTCGACAAGCTCATTTAACCAGAGCTAACCCATCAACCACTCCTAAAACTTACAAACAGGCTATGCGTGGTGATCTTGCGAACGAATGGGTCGAAGCCATGAAAGTCGAGCTTGACAACATGGAGCGACGTGGTGTTTGGAGCGTGTGCGAGCTGCCTGAAGGTTGCACTGCTGTCGGAACCGTTTGGGTTTACAAAACGAAGACAGACGTAGATGGAGCCTTTGTTAAATTCAAAGCGCGACTTTGTGCACAAGGATTCTCTCAAGTTGCAAATGTCGACTATCACGAAACATTTGCTCCCACCGGTTGTAAGACTGCTTTTCGTGTATTACTTGCTGTAGCTGGGGTTAACAACTTTGATGTTCATGGCATGGACGCCATCGCAGCCTTTCTCAACGGCATTCCTGGTGAAACTATTTACTTACGAATTCCTGAAGGTCTACATATTGATGGAGCGACAGACAAAACGGTTCTTAAGCTGAATCGGGCACTCTACGGTCTTAAGCAATCGCCAAGGTGCTGGTATAAACAATTGACAGATTTTTTCATCTCCATTGGTTTTTGATCATCTAAAGCCGACTCCTGTCTTTTTATCAGCTCCGATGATTCAGAACCTTGTTACGTTGCGGTACATGTCGACGATATGTTAATCACCGGTAGCAAGAAAGGTATCGCCTCCTTCAAATCGGCTATCTCTAAGAAGTTTGAAATGGAGGATCTTGGTGAGGCCACTTCTATCTTAGGGATGAAAATCTCGAGGAATCGACACCTAAAAACCATTTCTCTTTCTCAAGAACATTACGTTGAGACTCTTCTGGACTACTACGGAATGTCTCAATGCTCCCCTGTTTCTACTCCTATGATTCCGAACACTTGTCTTTCTCCGGCAAGCGCGGAATCCATTGCTGCCTTTAAGGCATCCGGCCTCAATTATTGTCAGTCTGTTGGTTCGGTGAACTACCTTGCTCAATGCTGCAGACCCGATCTAGCGTTTACTTGTTCTCAACTAGCTCAACACCTGGAGAATCCTGGTAATGAACATTGGGCTGCTTTTCATCGACTTCTCCGTTATCTTAGAGGTACCTCGAAGTATAACTTGACGTACGGCTCTAGTTCTCCAGCAGAAGGTTCCTATGCTCATGCCAAGACTGAAAACTTTGCTGACGCTGATTGGGCCGGCTGCATCAACACACGTCGATCTACTACCGGGTACTTATTTCTAATCTTTGGAGGTCCAATTAGCTGGAAATCTAAAAAACAACCGGTTGTTTCTCTTTCTACTACAGAAGCGGAATACAAGGCAGTCGTGGAGGCGGGTCAGGAGCTCATGTGGTTGCAGACTCTGTTCACGGATCTGAAAGTTGTCACCGATCCAATGATTCCTTTATTCAATGACAATCAAGGTTGCATTTCATTAGCTTCTAATCCGATCTTTCGTGCTCGA